TTCTATTATAAATTCGTGGCACGAAAAACGGTGCTAAAACCGCTTCCTACATGCATTTATATGCACCGTCGGACACTGTTAGCGCGAATACGGCGTCGGCGCTTTCCGACATGGAGGATATACGTGCCAAACGAACGAAGGACAACTGGAAAACCAAAAGAGGCAGCAAGAACTGCGCAGTAACACTGGATAAGCGACTCCTTGTGCATACAGACGATAAAAATAAATTGAAAGCCACGTAATATAGTCCGATTGGCAACAATTAAGTACCCACTGCTTTATTCTTTCTGCTTACGTACATGTGCGAAGATGCTTGTTCTGGGTTCAAATCATCACCCGCACGCTCCAAATTTTTGCAAACAGGAAAAAGCCAGAGAACAGGTGCCCGATAAAAACTGCTCGATATAGAAAATAATAAGAAGATAAACCTTTCGTACCCACCGTACTTTATTTTTTTACGTTCCAGTGTTTTTTTTTGTTTTTTTTTGGCGAGCGTAAAGATGCACGACGGAGTCATTTTCATATAGTGGCCGAACGGGCATACATTAGTAACATATAAGCGCAACCGGAATGCTAGCGGACCTTGAACACACTCTACATTCCTTTCGATCGTTATTTTACCAAGGGTCGTCGTTCCTTTTTACATACCTTCCATGTAACAGAGGCTTGGGCCTGAAATACAGCGAAGCTTAACATCGTTCAGTGGCAAAGAAAGATAGTAAAGAAAAATGCTGCAATGAAAGCAATTACACTTTTACAATATTAATAAAGGTACATACTATCCCGTACAACCGAAGTAATAAAAGTTATTCATGTAATTTTCCGGCAAAGAGACAAAAGGCACGCGCGTTTTCCCATAGGAATGCACAGGAGCACCGCAAAAGTAGACTGGTTGCTGTCTGCTTCAATTTGCCTGCCGGAAGTCGCATAGACACTAGCGCCAGTTGAACCTCTAGCGTGCATTATAATAACTCTGTGCCCGCGCGCTCCCATAGGGAAACGCGAAGTGACCTGGTCGCCCCTAATAAAGCCGGTCGCGGCAGAAACTATCTAATCCTCCGTACTTGCTGACGCCTTACATGCAATGGCGCCCGTTATTTGCGAGTTCGGTGGTACTCCCCTACATCAATCTCACAAAAACATCGGCGTAATGCTTTCCACAGACCTGCCATCGGCGTTTCATACACTTGCGGCACAATTATAGCGCATGACATATTATTTGCCCATTTCTGAAAATACGAAAACAAAAAAATAGTTGTTTAGCAACACATTTCAGTCAGCAAAAACACTCCTCCGATCCTAAAAAAAAAATGAAAAAAAAAATGTGGATGTTGGCGTTATATGTTTAGTCGGGTTTACGTCTGTCGTCCATTTCGTTGTATGGCGGAAATTACGTTGAGTTAAAATAGAGAACGGCGTACGCGCGGATGTCCGACGTTAAAAAAAGTTGGAGTTTCTAAGCGCCCGATTTTACCGTTGTTCTGAATTACGTGTTGTTTGCTACGGTCGTCGTACTGCACGCTACGAATTCCCACGTTCATTTAACCCTGCTCGCGCCTACTATAGACCTTTCGTGATCTCGTGCAAGGTGGCCCGGCTTATAGCTCGTTTTAATCATCAAATGGTGTGGAAGAAGTAAATATATATATATATATACATATATATATATATATATATATATATATATATATATATATATATATATATATATATACATATATATATATATATTACATTCCACCCAGGAGTATTTCATGCACTATCCGTTACCAGTCGACAACCTTCCGCGGCATTTTATTTTCACTATAGACGCTGAATACAAACAAGCGCGCGCGTTTAACCACACCCGAGGAAGCATCTGCGCATGCGCAGTACCGAGAGCAGCGCCACCGCAGCCGCGTGACGTCAGAGAATCGATTTGGTGCATATAGTCAGCGGCAGATCGAGAAACACGGGGAGTGGCCTGTCGCGATTACGTTTCTCGCATCGTGATTGGCTGTCCGGCGTTCTTCTGGGCTCATAAAGCAATCTGATTGGCTGCGAAGACATGATAAGATATGCTCTTGATTCCCCGTGCCCTGCGTTTCTAAAACTGTCAGGGAACTATGCGGAACGCAAGGTCGTCTGCTTCCTGCGCGGCGGGGGTTGCGGCGACGAAGGAACGCCGAGCTCTGATTAGCTCCGATCGGATGGACAGTGCGTAGACCACAGGGAAGCTACCTAAAGACCATTTTATCGTGGGTAGCGCCATTTTGAGAGCGAGAGAGAAAAGGGGAAAGGGCTACCGGCGCTTTCCCCCTTTCTGATTGTGTAGAAAGGGTGGAAGTCCCGGATGAAGAGGCTTGGCCGGTGTTGGGTGTCTGCTGTGCCCCAACATCTTTCGCGCTTTCTTTTCTGTTTTGAACTCGCAAACTTAATTAGAGCCATGGTCTTCAATGGCGAAAGTCCCCCGGTCATCGGGACACCATTGCTCGGTCATAGGGTGCACGAATAACGACAGAAAGCGTCGAATACCGCCCAAGGACCTCGTAGCTTGCATGGAATTCGGCAAGGCACGTGCGGCTGCAGTGTTTTGAAGCTCCACCGCTTTCCGCGTAACTGGAAATGATGAACCATTCATAAATGTTTGCTTGCAACAGGCCAATCTCAACGCAGCCGTTTTTAGTAATGAACAAGCGATACACGAAACGGGAACCTCAATTAACTTTTGTAAACACCCGGAGCTGCTACATATCGTTTTGCTGCGCTGCTTTTATCTTGCGTGTCCGTGTTCTCATATTTCATTGTGGGTGAACGACGAAGACGTTCTAGATGTGCTTATATCGAACCGCAGAAAGCGTCAAAGCAGCCACGAATTATTTTACTATTTCATGAAATATTTTGAGTACTAACCTCCAATTTCTATCACTGACACGTTCGCTGCCGCTGTTCCCCCCGTTGCCGCACTGGCGGATGCCATGACTCGAACAAAGAAACGCACACACTGGGCTCCAAGACGCAGATCGCAACACACGAGTCGTACCCTGGAGCGACTATCCAGCGCTTCAAAGCGCCCAATCAACGGAAACAACCTAAACAACCCACCCGTGGCACTCCAAAGAGCGCTTTTGTCGGCTCTGGTATCGCACAGGAGATCGCTATTCAGGAAAACCGATAGAAGTACCTTTTCAACAATTTCTAGCCTCACCCGGCGGCGGAAATAAGCCTTCAACTAAGTATAGTAAATGATGAAATCGAGTCAATCACCACTGCAAATTATCAATATTAAGATAAATTCAGTTACAATATTTTACAAGCTGAAACAGCAATTATCACGAGAAAACTGGCACGCACCTTGCGAGCGTACCCCATGTTCATCGGCGGTACAGCGTTCGGTGCGCGCTCCATTCACAAGCTGTTCCGAGCACAGTCGAGAAGATGGTGTTGAGGAAATGTCTTTTCGGTTTACGAACGCAATCCACTGCCGCCAAGACCGGGGTCATTTGGAAAGCGATGGAGCTTAAAGACATTGCAGCCGCTCTCGCCTTGCCGGATTCATTGCAAGCTACATAGGTCCTCGGACAGTATTCGACGCTTTCTTTATTCGTGCACCCTATGACCGAGCAATGGTGTCCTGATGACCGGGGAACCGTTGCCATCGAAGCCCGTTACTCTAATTAAGTTTGCGAGTTCAAAACAGAAAAGAAAGCGCGAACGAAGTTGGGGCACAGCAGACACCCAACACCGGCCAAGCCTCTCATCCGGGGCTTTCACTCTTTCTACACAATCAGAAAGGGGGAAAGCGCCGGTAGCCCTTTCCCCTTTTCTCTCTCGCCCTCTTTCAGTAAAACGGTCTATAGACCTTTTCCGCAAGGGCGCCGCCATCTTGAATTGTCGTCACTTCCAGTATGGGCGAAAACATTGTTTTGCCGTCGCCACGTCAAAGAAGGCATTTAGGGCATGAACGTAACCGTCACACATTCATGTTTTGCCTCCCCTCTATTTTTTTTTTTTACTATTTGCAGGTTGAAACGTTCTGGTATTTTTTCGTCGCCCATACCGGATATGCCTACTTGGCGGTCGGAGGCGAGAGTAAGCGGAAAAGGTCTATATCGTTCGAATCTACCCACTATCTTTTCCATCGGAACCAATCAGGGCTCGGTGCGTTGTGACGTCACTGCCACCCCTGCAAAAGAAGCGGACGAACTTATTCTCCGCATTGATTTGCTTCGACCCATTCTGCAACTAGGAGGCGTCGCAACTATTTTGATATGGCAGACACATGCTCCACCGTTTCTTTGACCTATAAACAGGTTCCTGCGACCAAGTGGCCTAACCGTTTTAGCTCTCGGAAATGTTCTCAGCCGATATGATCGCACTCCCTCGGCGCTTGCAACACAATTAATAAGCACCAGTGCCAATCCCAGAGGGACTCATAAAAATAACAAAACAGCAGGTATATGGAAGCTTGAGTGATGATCTAAATGTTACTACACTAATAAAAAAGAAAAGCGATATCATTAACTTAGTCAGCTCTTTTCCGACTCAAACGATAAATTATACAGACGCCGTTAAATATTTCAACGTTGTCTGCGGCGACACCAGTGCGAATTATTGTCAAACATCCAACTAGGCCTCCTCATTAGAACGTGAACGATTAGTCCAAGCTTGTATCCATAACATTCACTGAAACGCACGCAGCTGCTGCGCAACAAAACCCGTAAATGCGTCTTTTCGGGTTAACAAGTTCCAAAGATAACAACGCAGCTGGACGCCTACTACTGCTCACGTCAGAAAACGGGGGATACCGGGAGAGCACCGGACAAGGCCCGCGCATCCTATAACAAGGCCGCGGTACAAAATTTACTGCGTCATTTACCCGGTCGAACGCTCACGCAGCGTTGCGGTCCGATCATGCGTCTCTAACTGGCCCACAGTAGGTGACGTAACACCACCAGCAGCTGCACGTAGCGACGACCCACAGCGGGGGCTCGCTTTTCCTGTTTCTCTCCACCGTTTCCTCCTCGCCATCTCCTTCGCTCTCACTCTTCTCTCCGGCCCTCGTGTGTCTGGTGTCAGCCAACCCGCCATTGGGAATCTGCTGTCAGCTGCAACCCGGTTAACGCGGTCGGCCGCCCGAAGTCGTTCCGAAGCTCTGGCTGCGGATTTTTTGAGCGAAGGCATAGGAAGGATGTCTTCCGTTGGATACATGCACCCGCTGAGCGTCGATCCTCCGGATATTGAGGTGAGTCCCCGAGCGAAATATTCGTTCATCGCCATCTAACTTATTTAAGAGTTATACAGAATGCCTGTACACAAAAATATGTTTTTGGTGTGTGCGTGGCCTCCGAACGGCGTGCCATTCAGTTCGAATTACTATACCAAGACTCCTAGGTGAGGGTTGCAATTTCTTGATTTATACAAGCAACATGACAACAGTACACAATCACGGGTCATCGGGGAGAACAGTCGTATGCACACACAAAAAACACACACATACACAAGGAGCGCTGATTTAAAACTATGGCATGTTCGGCTTTTACTTTAGCCTGAGACATAGGTAATACAATACCTTTTTTTTTTTTTTCCCCGCGAAGACGTAGAATACGATAGCTGTAAGTCTGCGCCCGTTGTTTATCTTTTTGTTGTGCCTGCTCTGTGTGTCCTCGTTGTGATGCGCTCTGTCTTCCTACTGTTAACTTGATGGTCCAAGAAGTTACCGTTTTTAAAGTTCAAACTAGAATATATACTTTATTACGATTAATAAAGCTAAGCGAATGACAAAACAAACATTGCAAAGTTTTCGACGCGAACTACGCCCACCGGTGCTTCTCCTTTCAACCTCCCGGGCCGTGGTTACGGCCTCTCGGCAGCAGACGTTGAGCGGGCGTCTGTAATCCTTTTCTATCTAACTTGCCAGTCCGTGAGGTTTAGGTATAAGCACCCTGTTGACCCCTCGTCGGGGTAGTCTGGGTCGTCGGGTTGGCTCCATGTTTACAGCATCGCGACACATTCACAAGACAAACGTGACTCACTGCTGTGTGTCACGTTATCACCGCAACAGCTCTAAAGAATCATAAACACAAGCAAAAAAAAAGTGACCTTTTTGTTTGCCATAAACGATAACAGCGAGAAGAGAAGTTTCGAGATATACGAAGGGCTGCGTGCATGACCTTGGCTGGGGCTACTGGAGACTGGGAGAGGGAGCGAAAGATGACGAGGCAGGAGGCAAGGATGCAAATTAAATGTTTCTGACGTCGCCTGTGCGCGGCGACCTGAAGAGCAACTTACGTGAGACGAAAGGTTCAATATGGCTCTTCCCTGACTTCGCCGCAGATTTTAGAGTCCAGAAGTTGCTTTAAAGGCTGGAGATTGGCGCACAGTAGCAGTATTATAATCTTTGCGACGTCATCGCGACCTTATTATCTAGCAGCAGTTTATGGCGAATGTGATACTTCAAGTCAAGCGGATGATTGGTTTTGGTTTCGTTGCGCGTACCGTGATTTGAGGCTTTCGTTGATTCGAGGCCGTGGTTAGGATAGGTTGCGATACTCTTACTTTGCAAATTTATTTCGCTGGATGGTCGTTCATATTCATTTCAACTTTTCAGCGGGTTGAATGTGTTATTTGGTAAGTATCTTAAAAGGCGTAGTTACTCTCTTCCACAGTAGCTGTACTAGAGTGAACAAACAGGTGCGTTCCAAAAAGGTGAATAAACCCTTTATACACCCTCCCCTAATGTCCTACTTGGGGCTGAAAAATAAAAAAAACTGTTATTGCGATGATTTTTGCTTTTGGGATGTGAAGCAGATATGTCATAGAAAGAAATACATAGATTATGACTGACTCTTTCAGCGAAAGGGTGGAGCGATGTTCTTGACCCAGCTAGCAAAATACTTGAGTCCTCTAACAGTCCGTTATAACAATACCATCGTCAAACATAGAAAACACAAAAACTAAATCACGCAGAAACGGTACTACACCGTTTCAGTAAATGATGGTGGGCTCACACTTCCTAAATCCTTTGTATGTTTGGGTCAAGCATTGTGTCGTACTATAATGTATTATTATAAACAGCGGTCCAGTTATTGATTGGCTCCATATAGGCAAAGATAACTAAATATAATTTACTTATACATTACTGCAGTGATGCTTTGTATGTAACTCCGCTTCAAGGGTACATATGCGACATGTGTATATGTAGCCTTGAACAAAGTTGCGGTCTACATAGCACGAAACTGATTTTCTCTGTTCAAGTATTCCACGAGCCTCCAATCTCAACCCTCACAATGCAAAAAAAAGAAAACAAGTAGAGAGAAGTGTGAAGAGCATTAGGGCTGAATGAATAGCGAAAATTTACCTAACATAGAAAGTAAGACTATAACACCCGTAATCGTTTTTGTTATCTGCAATGCTCCTAATCTCCCCTTCGCATCCTTCCCGAGCAGATATATGACACTTCGCCACCGGCCCTATTTGCGGAAGATAAGGAAAATGTTCGAGATAGTCCGGAATTGCCTTACAAATAGGGTTCCGCGTTTTCGGTTTTTTATTTTTTCAAAATGTGGCGTACTTTTTTCGGTGTTTCTTTTAAAATTTGATTTTCGTTTTTTTTTTGTGTATATTTAATCCTAAAAAAGTTTACCGGTTTCTTTCGGTGAACATGAAGGAAACACCATTGGACACTGGACCAGATGATCTTTCAAAGAATACGCTCCGGGCGCTGGTGTTTTGAAAAAACCCGTGGCGCCATCTGTCCGACGAAATAAAAACTATTGGTATGTTACCGCCCTTCCCGACTGCTTTCGCGTTAGGCTTGCCAGGCGTAAAGTGCAGGCGTACCCGGCTGCTTTCGTTATGTCGTCCGCAACAACGCAGTCGAAAAAGCGCACTTCTGTTTATTGGTGTGTTTACGATTGCCACAAGAGCTACGGAAACACAGCTGGGAAGCTCCCAGTGGTAGAGTTTTACCGCTTTCCAGCAAAGCCGTACGAGGCAGAGCGTCGACGGAAATGGGTTGCAGCGGTGCGATGCGCAACGTAAAGAAACCCTTTTTTTTTTTTTTTTTGTCGTTTCTCGGTTTTGTTTGCTCTCCATGATACAGAATTGTTTCTCGCTGGCACAGTTAGACACTGCATTTTTGTGTACAGCGGAGACGGAGACCCCTGGGAACGTTCCCAGGGGTCTCCGTCTCCGGGTACCCGCGATTGGGCAGGCCAGGATTTGCAGCTGCCACTTCCTAGGAAACAAAAAAAGCTCCATCGCTCAGCACCCCGCTTACATCCCCACGATCTTCCCTTCGTCGTACAAGGCGAGATGCAATGTGACGATAGAGACACAACTGCAAAGATATGCAATGTGACGACAGAGACACACTGCTCCATGTTTGCACCACCCACGCACGCCAGCCTTGCAGGTGCAGCTCGCGCCCACGATGAGTCTCGGGTGCGCTGAAAGCTGCCGTAGCAAAAAAAAAAAAAAAAAAAAAAATGTGTGTTATGCACGGTTGAAGCGAGAAATCAGAACAACAACAAATGAGGAGTGGAGGGGGGGTACGCGAAACCGAATCGGGTGGCACGCTCACCTGAAGCCGGACGTTGTAAACAGCAGACTTCATCTGCGCGAGGCATTTCCCTACAACTTCGCTGGGAGCTGTGGAATGAAGGACTTCTTCTTTCACGCCAAACACGTGACGGCCCGCATAAAGTTGCTCCCCTAACTTCAGTGACTTTTCTTTGAAATATTCTGCGATCTCGTCAATCCTTCTGAAGCCGCAAAAGAGCACCGTCGGATCCCACATGCGAGCCGCCATTTTCAGATGGGAACATACCAATCGTTCTTAGGTCGACCACGGGCGGCGCTGTGGAGCGCAAGCGACGGTGGCGCCGGAGTGGCCGCCCGGAGGGTATAACGGCACATATACATACGTGGTCTTCGCTACAACTTCCGTCAGGACACACCTCAAAATGGCGGAATTCGCGGGCATAATCTTCAGCACGCTACTTTTTCCTTCCCATTGGCGTGACCGTCTGAGGTGATGACCGTACAGAAACCAGTGGAAGGGCAAAAAAATCTATTGTATTTATGTTTTTAACCACAGGGAAGTTTGAGAGAGGGTGTTAAGAAGGTAATAACGGCTTTCCTCGACGTCTCCTGAGGTGCATGACACCCGAACTTTTTTTAGGACCAGGCACTTGACAAACTAAGCCCGATCACAGAAAGGACACAGATGTCCCGCGAAGGCCAATCCGAGACCTCTTTTGTTGCATGTTGAACCTTGGAAGAGGGCAATCACGAAGACGAAACACAATGTCAAACCTTGCATAGCCCTCTCCCCCCTCCCCCCTCCCCCACACACCTCGACGCGGCCCTAAAAAACTTACCTTATTTGGTTAAAACCGAATTCTAGAAAGCGGATTAGACGTACTTTTATCGGTTTAAACCGAAAACTCCGAACCCTACTTATAAACGACATCTCTTCGTGTCACCGATAATAATGAGTGCATCATAAAGAACCAATGACTATCGCGATTGTCCAGATTCTACTTCTATTTTATGTTTTCAGTTAGGTTTCTTTTCACAAAGCTAAATCAAGGCTGTAACGCTTTTTTTTTTGTGGTATGCACTCAATCACTACCAATAAATTTTCATATGTACTTATATTGCGCCAAAGAAATGGAATAAGGTCAAGATTATGCCTAATTTGAAAGACTTTTCGTAGGTGGGCTAATGCCCACTATACAGTTTACGGTACCTCTTGCCGAACGAGCTGCAGATTGCTTAAGTATCTACTTCTCAGCGTTGACTACCTATGCCTTAAGCAATTATTCTCGAAACTGGCTCATTCTAATTTACTAAGCGCTTTTCGCGTTCAGAAAGAAAATAAAACGGGACTGGCACTTGTCGCACTTAAGGTAGTGACGCAAGGGCTATTCCGCAATCAACTGCACGTGTGCGCATGAAACTATAGGTATTCTGCTGGAGGCAGCGTGCGAAGCCTACTGCGCTGCCGAGGTGCTCACTAAAGTTATGAAAGTCTTCGTGACTTGTATGGCACCTCCGTAATTCTTTTCCCATCCCATTCCAGTCCAGACAATATATAAGTGATAGTCGGGTGGCAGTAATCGCAGCATTACTTGTTTCAGCCTGCTTCTGTTTGATGAACAGTAAAGAGGTCACACATCACAGTTATACTGCTAGCTCTTTCGTACTCATAACATTTCGAAGAATATAACCCTCTCTAGA